ATTACTTTAGTGGAAATCCATTTTTTAGCCTTTAAAAATTATTTTAAGTTTCAAAATACAATATAATTTTTTAGAAAATCAGGAAAAATATTCTAATTGCTTCTAAATGCTTGGAAAATAATTTAGAAAATTTAGAATATTCCCATGAGTTTTATTACTTTTGTGTTTTTTTATGAATTTTTAATTATTTAAATATTTAAAAATAGGCTAAAAATGAAGTTTTTATTTTAAACTCCATTTTATTTTTATGAAATTTCCCTGATCACATAGAATTTAAAAAACAAGTTTTCATAATTTTTTGAGTTATATTTTGATCATTAAAAATTGTTTTTTGATCATTAAAAATTGTTTTGATCATTAAAAATTGTTTTAGTGCCAAAAAAGATATTTAATTTGGAAAATCAATTTAGGCCATCAAATGTACTTAAAATGCTTTGAAATTTATATGGGGATTTCTATGGATCATAGAAAATAGTGGAGATATAAAATCAAGTCATTTTGATGTTTGTATTTTCCAAAATGAATTATCTTAGTGATTTAGGGTTTAGATAAATTAAATTTATTTTGAATGACTTCACTTATGAGAAATTTTTTTAAGGGTTCTCTGGTCATAGTGAACTTTGAAAAATTCTCTTGGATTTTTCTAAGCAACATGCTGATTATTATGATTAATTAAAGCAAATAATGTACATAAACTTAAAAAATATAGATCTCTGTTTAGAGGTCTCTCTGACTTTAGAAAAATCAGGGAATGTTCCCCTTAATAGAGGCTATAACATACCAAAATTTCAAGCCATGGTGAAATGCCTATATGCATGGAGAATAAAAAAACTAAAAATAATGTTTAATTAATTAAAAATAAAATATACATCAAATAGACTTCAAATTATTTCCACATTGTTCTCCTCTATTCACTGACAAAGAGGGTCTTTTTATTTTATTTTTGTGATTTTTCTACACCAAGATATAAATTTTTGAAGTTAAGGGTCTTTTTTTTGAATTTTTTATAATTCCCCATTTATCTACTTAAAGCGCGGCGCCAACTCATCCTATGGCGGCTCTGAAGCTCCATGCGGCGAGCTCCCGTTCGACGCCGCCATCCACTTCACTGCTGACTCGACCAGCAGTTTATGTCCCAAAGTTGATGAGATAAACGAGCGATCACACAGCTCTCTGTCATCATCCGCAATGGCCTAGCCCAAGGACCATCCATCTTCAAGGCTTGATATCTCCCTCATTTCTCAATCAAATTGAATGAAATTTTTTTTAAAATGCTCGTCTAAACTAGAGGAACATATCTATATGGTTAAGATGCCATAAAATTAAGTCTAAGAAAATGGAGAATCAAAATAGGCTTGGGAAGAGAGGGAGTGCAATACCTTTGCTCTGAGAATAGAAGCTTCGATCAGAGGTGCTCAACACGTTTGTTCAAGTCTAAGGAGGCTAGGGATTGAGCCTCTTACTATGGTGTAAGGTCTAGGTATTAATTTGACCAAGCTCTATTTCATGTGTTAATCAAAGTTTATGCTAGAAGCTCCGTGGAAGAAGGATTTGATGGGGCTTCTTCTTCTACTACTGTGGTGAAGGTGTGGGTGAGTTTGATTAGAGTTTGGTGGACTGTGAAGTTGTATTGAGCTCTGTCCTCATTTTTGGCAAAAGTTTGAACTCAAAATTGGGCTTCCACAGTGGGAATCAGTGGAGGAAAATGGTTGGATTGCATTGAGGAAGTCTCAAAGAAGCTCTGTGAGTGATTTGGGAAGCTATCTTTGAGAAAATTTCAGCACACCCACCATGGCCGTGGAGGTAATCTTGGAGCTCAGAGAACCTAGGGGAATATGTCACAACAATTTAATGGGCTTGGGTTTAGTTTTGGCAAAAAGAATCTTAAGCTTAAGCAATTACGGCATGAAATCCATTGATTTAAGGGACCATTGGTACATGAATTAGCTTAGGTGATTTTATGGGGTTTAGCTTGGTCACTAGGGTCCAACTAATGGCTGTGGAGTCATTAATTTGATGGCTTTGGGGTGGTTAGGCTACATTTAGTGCATGGGTCCAAGTGGGTGAAAATGACCAAAAC